AAAAATCACTTGAGTGAAGCTTTCCTTGCAATGATCGATCATCCATAATAGAGCAGATTCGAGGCTGTCCTGTTAATGACAGTTTTGTTAACAACGGTATTGATTTTTGTTCTTGTACCTCGGGTAGTATAACTTGATGTTCACTTGTTTGCCGAGCTTGGCAATTGTCTTGTTTATGTTCGAAGCTTGAGATCCATCCGGAAACGCTCTGAAATTCTTCTTTTTCTCACCGATGGTCAGTCTCGTTTGTAAGTAGCTTTGGACGATCCCGGTGAAGTCGATGCCCTAGGTTCGTCTCTCAACAGATTGAAAGTATCTGTGAGTAAACCAAGGGACAGGGACAGGGACAGGGACAGGGGGGGAACGTGTTTACGGTAGCTCGCTGCATCCCACACTGTGTAGTTAGTTCCTATGACGGATTTAGATGTCCGAACCAAACCGGATATGGCACACCAGAGTTACTGCATTTCCAGTGGATCCCGTTGCCAGCCCCACCTTCCAGTTTTCAATTATCACGGTTGTGGTGTTATTCATTCGCCATAATCTTTTCCCCAAATATGAGACATAAGGTATTGTTCCACGCTGGTTCCACGCTATTCAGTGAAGTGTGTGAAGAACAGATCACATGATTTCTCGTTGAAGCCAAGTGTTAAATTTGTATTATTATTTTCTTTAGTTGAATGATGATTCTTAACAACTCATGATTGACATTAAGAGCAGTGACAGCTGTTATCCTCACAGTATTATTTGTTCTTTTGTTGAAAACCCCACCTCCCCTGACAGACAAAGCTGATTAGCGTTGCCGCTCTCAGTGAAACGGGCAAAATGTAGAATTTCTAGGTTTGAGCTCCGATTGATTCGTCGTCTGTCGGTTCCATCAAAAGCAATCCATGATATCACTTTTTTGCTTATTAGTAATGGTTATATATCAACTTCCTGGTAGTGTCATAATTCCAGAAGACCGGTGCTTGTTGAAGGAAAATTGTTCATTGTGAACAAAAGTTACGGTATGTATAATTTGTCTTACACATCACAAGATACTTTATTTTGAAAATGTCATCGCGATGTTGGTGGTGGTGTGTTCTCCGAGCTGAGAATGTTGTTCGCGGACGTTTGGCAGCCAGGCTAGGCAACATCGGGGAGGCGCCGGTCCTCAGTGTAACTGCGCTTATAGAGTTCTGTTCGAAGCCAGTTCAAACCGGTTTCCGGTTGGTCCAAGAAAGCCAATCGACCAATGAAGAACGAGGGGGTGTCACCATGACACCGACACAGCCAATCAAATTACAGCAAATGGTCACAACTGACCAATAGGATTGAAGGGACGCATACGGCCAATCAAAACCCTCGAACAGAACTATATAACTGCAGTTACACTGAGGACCAGGGCTTCCCCGAAGTTGTATCGATGATGTTCCCTAGCTTGGCTACGGAACGTTTGCGAACAACACTCCCAGCTCGGAGAACACCGCCATCAACATCCACATCCAGAGCTACAATCGTTCCACATTATTTCCATACCATCGCGATTCCCGGCAGCACACAGAATAATGAATGGAAGAGGTCTCAGTTATCAGTTTGAAAACATTAATTCGCTCTACGAGATCTCGTTCATTTTTGACTGTTGAAAGTAACCGCATGAAGCATTATTTTGCATAATACTCACAAATACGAGTGATACCCCAGAGCAATAATGGTTTTCCGAGTCAAACAGAGTGACTGGATACGCGGCAACACACGAACCCATTTATGGACTAAATCTATCCTTACAAAGGTGACCCATATCTCTTTTTCAACTGATTTGCCCTTGTAACGATGCTTTTTATCGAATAGACATTTCCAAAATCCTTTTTGACTCAGGTGGAAGTGGCGTAATACACATTGTTCTCTGGAGTGCACCGTACTGATTGCGCGTCAGCTCACAATTCGAGTTCATGAGTTCTAAGCGACATAATGTTCACAAGCAACATACGCGTTTGATCACTTTCAACCGAGTTTGGCTATCAGAGGTCGACGATGATAGATGTCATTTGGCTTTTTCATCAATAGTTCAAATCTGTTTCTCGAATTGTACGTCTAAAATGGGACTGAAAAACTTCAAGCAGCATACCCCTGGGTACACAGTAGCTTGTCGAATAAACTATTCGCGATGATGCATTGCACTTTGGCTGCACGCTAATACCTTGTTACCTATCACCACGGCCCCTTAGAGATAAATTGTTTGAGGGCAATCATAATCCAGATGCTTGTTTGACGAGCAGGGTCCATCACGGAGGAGACCTGTATTAATCGGAGTGCAGACAAGAGGCAGTAAATATTTGTACCAATGAGAACAGAGACACAAAAAGGGAACTGTGAACCAGGAATCGTGCATCAAAATCGAATCCCAGAAGCGCATTCGTACTTTTTTACAGCCGAAATCTGATTTCATTTAGACTGTGGAGAATATTTACAGGACCATTTTTATTGAATAAATTCAATGGAATTAAATATGATGTCAAACAGATATTACGTAATTGTTACGCGTGTTCTCTGTGCCACCGAACTCCTGCTCGAACTGTATGGTCTTGGACTTTTGACTTCTGATTTACGGTCCTGAAGCTGTGACACGTGGCGGTGGTGGTGGTTTGGTCACCTTTACCGACTTGCTTTGGACCCTATGGTTCGAGGTTCGAGCCTCACCACCGCCACCTAACTTTGGTGATAGGCAGCTTTGCTGTCTTCCGGTTGAATACCATGCCTAACCTATTGGTGCCTTTTGTGGCTCACCACTCCAAGTCCCGGCGATCTGGTTATCTGTTTCCATCACTAAACAGCAGACTTTCGTAACTATGGGGTCTGCTCCATCTACGCTCTATCTACTATTCACCACACGGATGTGTGTAATAAGAAAAGCTCCCTAGCTGGTTTTCTGTCGGCTGCACTGAAGTACCAACACAGTATATTTTCCAATTTTCTGAGTGAAATATTGACTGAGTAAAGAAATCAAGGGGAAAACAAACAATTTTTCTGTCAAATAGACGTCTTAGATCGACAGAAAATGAGTATGGGAGGAAAACTAGCTAATTGTTGATACGGCAATAAATGTGATTTAAGTCTGAAGGTGATTGGTCTCAATCCCGTGAAGGAAGATTAGTTCACGTAACTGTGACGGCTTCTCCCATGAATACAGTACAACTCTTGAGTTCATTGATAGTTTTATTGTGGTCTTGTATTTTCACAGAGAGATCCGGGGACGCTTAATTTGAGACTGAGATTGCTCAGATGCGTAGCGATTCGGATCATCTCGGTTTAGGTCCGTCATCGGTTAAGTCAACCCGGGTTATTTTTTCTGATGCTATTGGGAAAGAATTTAATAGCTTAATCCACGAATATTGCTTGCACCACAAGAGTAAGTGGACAGATGCACCTGGGGTGTAATCTCATCCATGGGTAGTCCGTCTAGCAACACCAATGCAGATATGGTTTTGAGCTGAACAAGAGACGGGATCCTGTTTCTAGTGTGAAATTTACATGATTCTGCATGCATGTTCATGCATTGTTGTGGTAAACCATCTGTGTCCCTATACGCACATATTATCAACCATGTTTATCATCTGGATAAATCAAAATCTCCATTAAGTTTCGGAAGTTTTCCGATTTCTAACTTGTTCATGTAGATGCCTACTGTTAAGACGTCTAATATGAATCCCACGGCTATTCCATCCTCATATCGGTATATCACGCCGTTAAATTAGAACCAAATGTTAAATGAGTTCATTTATCTATATAATGAATTCGTCGAGTAGATGAGGCGTAAACTGAAAAGCTGTTTCAGCCAGGTTGGGTTTCATCAGCAGTGAGCGAATCTATCACCCAACTGGGGATCGAACCCGGGACCTCGCAGGTAGAACGCAAGTATACTACTCACTTGCTCACTAGTTAACGGACCAGACAGTTTCTCATTTTGAATATGCATGAAATAGCCCAACCCATCTTTGAGAGTTTTTTGCGAGTATCGGTCCTCGCTCATCTCAGCACTAGTCTTCAGGGTTTTGATTTATCGATAGACCAATATTCTTCCCATAGTCAGTACCTATAAACGTGATGTTCATTGTATGGAGAACATGAGTAAACAAATATCTCACGTACAAATTCTTTTTGTTTATAACAACAAGGGTCAGATGCTGACTGCATCTCATAGAATGAGTTGCCTGTTGCCTGTCCTCACCGGACTCATAGCAACCCATGTGGACATAACATGGCGAATAGACTTGTCCTTGGCTGGAAACCTCTGGAAACTAACACTCCTCCACAACCTCTGACACATTATTCACATGACATCATGCCTTCAACAATTACCCGTACCTATAAAATGTGCTGTAATTACGTAATCGATAAAACCCCGCAACCAAACTTGTTTGATACGTATAAATCGTCGAAGTGAAACGGAGTGTGTTTTCTTTCTTTGCATCGACAATAGATCATTTTTTAATAACTAAAAGAACAGCCGTACATTTCCGTAAAATGATATTCCAGGGCAAAACGTTTGCAGCATCAAATGTCGAATACTTCTGTCTGTTATCTTTTTTACCGAAATCCAATTAGCTGTCACTTAATCGTGCCTACCGGTATTTTTTCTTCAAAAAGATTACCATGAGATGTGTGTTACAATATCCCCTATCAGTAAGATGAATCAAAATTAATAGGTATGCAACAGTATGGCTGAAAAATTTGAAAAATGTAATCGACCAGTTTTCTCTCCGTGAATGACGAACGATGTGAAGTATACTGTTTTTGGATCCGGTCCGTTGTCCAGCTCTGATTGGTCTAACCAAATCATCATGCTCGGTTCACTTAACCAATGAGATTGCACAGGTTCATTTCACATGAACTCGACCAGATGCGCGGGTGTGATACACACATGTCGGGAGCTACGTGGAGGAGGTCATTGAACGAGTAGACTGTTATAAAATGTCGACATCCACTAAACAACCAATTCGGCATTGGCGATTTGCGTGATCATGTCATCTCTGTCGTAAGTGGTCGTCTATGTTGTTACGTCCGTTTGAATCGGCTGCTGTTTGTGTGTGTGCGCCCGCGCGATTTGAACAATTGCATCACATTTCATCGCATCAGTTTAATCTCTACAATTCACTTATTTGGGCAACTTTTTCTTAATTCAGTGCCGCTCAGATTCGGGAGGTGTTTGAAAATTTGGACACGGACAAATCAGGTCGATTGTCGGTGAAAGAAATCAAACAGGCTTTGAATCAGATGGGCGCTTCCTACACAGACACAGAGATTGCTCAGTTCATTTCGGATCACGACCAGGACGGTGACGGACAATTGGATTTACAGGAAACCATCAAGTGGTTCACTGCATTTGTAAACAGACCACCTAAGAAGAAGTAGTGAATTTCGGACTCGGAAAAGGCATCAGAACCTGTGTACAAACATGTTGTTGTTGCGTAACACAACTTGCTGCTGGTTCACAGCGGGATTAAACTGTGTGATTTGTCGAGTGCGTTTTTATTGTGAACAATGAACTGATAATATTTGATTTTTATTTTCTTTCTTATGGCTTGTACTGGGGAATGTATTCTGTTTGTTTGGATCACTGAGTGTTTATTTGTCCAAATTATTAGGATGGTTTTTATTCGTTATGGAAGGTTAGTCGAAAGTGGTTCTTTTTTAACATTGCGACGGTATATACAGTAGTTTACTAGGCATTACCCACTTATTTATCCCACTGCGAATCGAAACTGGATATCTCATGAACTAAATGAGAACGTACTGAACGTACTGAAGGGAAACGCCAGGTAAATGTTCAGGTAAGCTCATTTTGGTTGTACACACACGATTCCATCCATTGTTTTGAAGCCTGGCACAAGTGATTAAATCAGCTCATCCGTGAAGCAACTGGCTAGTAACTGTGATTCCAAATTGGTTCGGATTCTCTTGTCGTGATTGACCCTGGAAAACACTTTGCATGTCTGGTTGCTTTAGTGATCATTCAGATCTGTTTGTTCCAGTTGGAATTCGTTTAAGGCAATTTTTCAATGCATCATTTCAGTCAGATCAATGTTCCGGTTTAAAAGCTCAACTGTTCGTTAACCGAATTGCGAGTATTTTGTGAAGGTGAATGTTTGGATTGACCCATTCGGTTACTGATGCAGTCATCAGACACTCTGATTGATGATTTTGGGTGTGGATTTCACACCTTGGGGAACGTTAATTTCCCGCTGGTGTAATGTGTTTAAACGCGAAGAAAATATTTGTGATGACCGACATAGAGCATTGGATAGCTATTTCGTCCTGTTTGAGACTCGTCAACAGTGCGTACGTTTTGTGTCCCTGCCAGGATTCGAACGGCGAATTGGTTACTCCAAACATTCACCGTCTAAATTGATTGAGCCATTCGCACAAGGTAATGACCGTCAGTCTTGTGGCTCAGGGTTAAGGATTTGAAGAATCAACCCAAAGGATCGTGGTTTGAGTCCTGACAGGGACACAAAAAAGTGGTCACTGGTGACGAGTCCCAAGCAGGAGGAAAGTATTTTCACTTTTACTGTACTACTTTAGGTCACAACTGACATGCAACCCAAATATTTTTAGGATCAAAGTTCATAGCCAACAGAAATCTGGCAGTGATTTGCATTGCCGATCTACAAGTATATCGCAAGCAATTTATGCCAATTATCTATCTATCTATCTATCTATCTATCTATCTATCTATCTATCTATCTATCTATCTATCTATCTATCTATCTATCTATTTACACCGGGTAACCATTGTATAGACAGCTGTTCAGAGCCGGTGTTGCAAACAAGGTTATCGTGACGAAAATATACTTCCTGGGTACAAGTATATGAATGAACTGACAAATGATTACCGGATACACATGCCTGACGAGCGGCAAGAACCGCGAAACCGGTCGTATGCTTCCAGGGAAATTTTGTCCAGTCACTCAAATACTACTTCTTACGATATATATATATATATATATATTTATTTATTTCACACCGGCTTGAGAACAAGCATGGTGCCAATGCAAAACAATGATATTGAAGTTATGGAGGGGTACAGAAAGATTAGATGAAAATGGGGAAAACAGAGAACGCGGAGAACGAATGTATAAGTGAAGGATTATTTTGATGTTTCACCACACACTTTCGAAGATTTTTTGTGTTATGGGGAACGGGTTTTCTCCAGACAAACCGCATAGCAATCGCTTCACCGACATCTATTCTGAGCCATATCTCCCAGCGTCTCTAGCCATCAGCAATACTCATCCCTTGAGCCCCAGCCTGGAAGGCGAGCTGCACCAACAGAGGCCAATGCTGAGGCTAACTTCTTCATACCTCTACGCCACGTTATGGTCTGACCGCCACGGCGCTTCTTCCAACCTTGTCCGGCACGTGCAAAGAGAGCACGGCCAGATAGTCGATGAGCAGGCATATGCAAAACATGACTGAGCCATCGGAGGCGGTGTAGAACAATTTCTTCCGTTAGAGAACGACTATTAGTACCCAGCACATGACGACGAATTTTGTCATTGCTCACCCGATGTTTCCACCAGACATAAGCAATGCTTCTGAGGTATCGGTGGTTGAATACGGAAAGCCGGTTAGAATCCTCCACTCGAAGAGGCCGTAAAGCAGAACAGTACGGATCTCGGCGATATACATCCTTCTCTTAAGGGACAATCGGATATCATGGCGGCCAATTATATCTAGCTACAATGTCCCGGTAGTCACGTGAAACTGTTCTGTTACCAAGATGACAATACCGTTTGGAGTGGAAGAAAAAAACTTGGGAACTGTATAACGGTCAGGTTATTGATCATTGATTTATGTAAAACATCTTTGCATACGTAGAGAATTTTTCTTCGTTTTGTTTCCCACCGAACATAGGCAAACTTGCCTAGCCGTTGATTTGGGCCGGTTACCTTTGAATTCCACTCAGCTCCGTATTCAGTCCGTTAGCCAAGCCGCTTGTTTCAGACACTAATTACCGTACTTACTAATTAAGATAGTGCCCCATGGTGACGGGGTACATAAAAAAAAATGGACCGAGAATTCTTAAAATAACAGAACGATAGCAGAAATGTAATCTTTACGTCGTTCCCGATTTGAGTACATTGGCAAGTTTTGCTTAATTTATCCATTTTAACCAGTCCAATACGCGATATAAGTTGGATGCACATTTTCCCTTCGACTGTATAAGCACACGATTTGCAATCCTGTATGCTTGAGGCTATTTCTTTTTTTGCTAGATTGATCATTATCCGGTTAATGTGTAGCGCGCTGATTGGACAGTCAATTTAGAAATTTGAAAAAACATGCCATTTTTTTTACTGCCTTCTATTTTTGTTCCCTGATTTGTTATATTTGACGTGGTGATTGAGACAAGGTGCAACAACTGATCGCCTCCCATCTCACAATATACAGTGAAAGATACGGGCCAGTTTTATTTCTATTATATAGTATTATTTTGAAATTGTGAAAAGTCCGGTAGCCTCGGTTGGATTCGAACCCACGCATGGACACCACTTACGCTTTCGTACAGTGCACGCTCTATCAACTGAGCTACGACGACGCCACACCGATAGCACTGATCTTTCCATATTCGAATTAGCCATCCAACTTACATCGGCATGTGGCATCCCCCAGTTAGCATGTAAGCCGACTGCCCCGACAGGTTTTCCTTAGAATTCATCAGAGTCCACTGAATGAACTTCTAAGGTAAGGTTAATTGTTCAAATCGTTGTTTGGTAGACCGAAGTTTTATGTGTAAATTGTGAAAAGTTCAGTAGCTTACATGCTACTTGGTGGATGCCATATGCCTCTCTTAGTTGGATGATTGATTCGGATGTGAAAAGATCAGGGTGTTATCTGTGTGACCTTGTAGCTCAATCGGTCGAACGTGTTTCGTACCAAAAGTGTAGGTGGCTTCTATGCGTGGGTCCGAATTCCACCGAGGTCACTGACCGTTTCACAATTTGAACATACGAATTCAATTTACTCAACAACGATTTGAACAATTAAATATTTTCTTTTTCAGCTATTAAAAGCAGGCCACATTTACCGGTTATCTGGTTCTGCACAGTGCATGTTCAAGGTTGGAATAAGTTTTGATGGTGAAGGAAAAGGTTTGGTCTATTTATTTCGCAGACCATGGACAGTGTTTTTACAGATTATAGTTTTGTCGCTTGTATTCGACACAATTAAGATCATAAGCAAAGATACAAAGGTTTGTGAAAATCCCATCGAGAGGGCTTCTAACTGAATAATCCTTTCTCACTATTGATTTGTTCATATTTATACATTTGATTTGATTTACTAAACTGATGCACTTTTCCAAAGCTATGTATTGTTTCAAGTAAATACTAACCGTATATCATTTGAATCCCTACCAGTTGCATAAGTCAATACTCGAAGCTGATTTAAAATAGGAATCTACAAAGTGAGATGTGTTCTAGAAAAATATCTCCGGAAATGTGCAACTGAAATGCTGTCAGTAGTTGTAGTAATGCCAGTAGTACGACGCAATGAACACGAAACACGAAACACGGAATATGAATCGTGGAATACCAATCAATGATTAGCAGTCACGGTCTTCACGTAAGCACTGGACCACACTGGCGCTTGCACGCAATATCACACGTAACTGAGATGCTAGGAAAAGACCTCAGGGGTAGCAGTTCGTTTGTTGAAAGAAATAAGGGGGATTAAATAATATATACAAGATCATTGGTCATCCGAGCCTTTGCCAATCGCTTTCTAGTATTTCTGGCATTGTTCAGCTTCTGTCTGGGCCGCATAGTCTCTGATTGGCTAGTACAATCGACATATTGTATATGGTCCAGAAGCAGTATGACGTACGCGCCTCGCTGACGTCGACCTTGGAGTTTGATTGATCACAGTTATCCTAAAACTGTAACGCATCGCTCCAGAGTACGCATCATCTCGCAGGCTGGAATCACCACAGTTTTCGATAGTCGTAACAAGACAGCATATACAATTTGAAAACCAAACTCTTACTGCACCGTTTCCCATCAAGCTTTAGTCAAAACACGCAATCCTTTACCCTCAACCCGTGATCCTTTAATTGGAACCCGCGATGCTTTAGTTACAACCCTTAGTCTCTTATCCTAAACGTACAAAATTTGTCATACAGATCTAAATGAGTCAGATCAAAAAGTATCGGAATATTCTGAGGTCGGCGAATGTTGAAACATTTTATTTTCTACGCATATCGATGTTGCACAGCTTGATGAAGGAATGAGACTGTGTAGTGGTGGTGGTGGTATGCTTCATCACATGTTGATTGGAGTAGGTTTAAACGATGAACCAAAAAGTGTTACCTCCAAAAACGTAATTGCTTACTGTTCCATACCTTCACTTAAATT